GAGGTGCCAGCGACCCCGCGGTTCCCCGACGTTACTGCTATTTTATTTTATTTTATTTTTCCCTTTCTGTTCTGTTCGTCGGCTGCGGTAGGAGCGCGTGGGGTCGCGTGGGGTGTGTTGTATTCGCGGGGTTGTCTGAAGTGCAATTGCAGACTGCGTTTGTGGCTGCGCATGAGTTACCTTAACCACGGTTTGGAGGTCGCAGCCGGAGGGGTACAAATTTGTTGCCTCTGGTACTCATGGGTCACCGACTGCTGCTGTGGATAGGGTCCTGTTCGTATGGCACCCCCCAATATCTGATGGAGGTTCAGGGCTTGCCTTGCTGCATCTCCCAGCAGTGGGGTTAGCGGCGGGTCGAAAGTGTATGTTCGGTAAGAGGTGTAATCACCTAGTCCAGCAAGGACTATTGCCGTATCTGTAGGAGTATCCGCAGGTCCCGCCACGGGACCGGCCTGGTCCATCGGCAGTCGTCACATTGGTTCCTCCATTGCCCTCTCCACCCCCTCCATTAAGGAAGGCGAATCTGTTATGGTGGGGGGTATGGTTGATGTCGCTGTAGCCTCTGTGCAGTTGAGTGCGGAAGGAGGTGGCAGATTTGTGTCCACTTCGTGCCAGCACATCTTTCAGTCGGCCCAACCAATACTCCACGTAGTCTGTGACCATTTTCACCGGGGCTCCTGTCCCCATTGACGCAGGCTCAGATGTGGCTCCAGTGGTGGTTGGGTAGTATTTTCGTGTTGTTCCTGCTGCTGATTCCCCCCGGGGTGGAGTTTCGACCGCTCTAAGCATCTGATGTCATTGTGATCTGTGGTCGGTCCTGTTCATCTTCCACAGCCTCATTGGTGATGGAGGAGGGTCTCTTTTCAGTCCGCACGTAGTGCCCCTGAGTTTTTTGGCATTGTTGTTGCCCTGATCCGTGAGAACACTCCTGCTGTTGGCCAGTTGTCTTCTCCAGGACTGGTGTTTGATGGCCGGTTGCCTGAGAGAATGATGCCTTGTCTGAAGTAAGCAGCAGGCAGCCTGCCACCTCTTTCAGTCCGGTTTTAGCCCCCTGTTGAGATTGGGCTGGTTTACTGGCCGGCAGAGTTATCGGTAGCCTGTGAGAGGCTTCTATGGTCTTTCTTAGTGGATGGGATTGCTGCGCTGTCCGATTTGTCATTTTTTCCATTGAGGCTGCTGGGGCTGGATCCTGAGATGGGGATGATGTTGCAGGTGACCATTTGTTTGTTGACCTCTCACCTCTAGTTTAGTCTGTGCGTGAGGGACAACTTGCATTTGAGCCACAGGCTGCGTCCAGTGGGTGTCAGTCTTCTGGCTCACTGGTCTCCCTTTACACAGTCCAGCGTGTCCAAATTCTGTGACAACAGTCGTTGGGGGTCTTTGAGCGGAACCACAGTCATTGCCTTTGTTGGATTTGACTGACTGGACACGGCAGCAACTGGTGATTGTGCTATGGCTGGAGCCATTTCGTTGCCTTTGGTGCCGGTTTCCACCCCTGTCGTTGGGGTTGGTGAAAGTCCCCCTTCACCCAATCCGGTATGTCCCAGGTTTGTGCCGACCGACAATTGAGGGTCTTTAAGTGGGGAGGGTGTCTGGCTGGGCACCGCTGCGGATGATGGCTGTGATGCTACAGATTCAGTTTCACCGCCCTTAGTGTGGGGTCTCACTCGCGCACTTGAGGACAGTGGGTTCTGCAATGCTGGAGGAGGGAGCCGTTGCAGCTCCCCGGAAGCGGGGTTTCTCTTGCATTGAGTGATGATGGGGGAGGAACCCGCTGCACCTATTTTTGGGGGTGGCGACTTCTGCGTCTCAAGTGAGGGGGACAATGCCACATCCCCAGAAGCAGCTTTGTCCTCCATCGGAGTCTGAGAGAGCAAGTTTTCGGGCCTTGCAGCCTTGCTCTGCCTCGTCTCCCGTTGGAGAGCCCCTCTAGGGCCAGTCGTGGTTTGTTTCTTACTCGTTTTCTCACTCACAAGCCGGGGCCCACCGGGATTCGTCACATTGGGCTTGCACCACGTCAAAACCTCCTGCCCTGCATTGCATACTTCTCTAAACGCGGAGCGAATGGAAGGAAGCATGTCCACTGAACAAAATCCCGCAACTGTCCACAAGGGGGCACTAGACACATCCTTCAGATTCTGAAGAACCTCCAGAACGTCCGACTCCGGAAACGGCTCATGATCAGACGCATGTCCCTCGTGGGCGAAGCCGTAAGGGAAGTCAAAAATCGCCAGCGAAATCGGCAGCTTCTCTGTCTGCAGCTTTGACAGCAGGCGCATGTCGCCATTGATAATTTTTACTTCTGTCGCGTTGTTCTCATGTTTCACCTCCGTCCAGTCGACGAAGGGCTCCGTGAGAGGTGCCGAACGGAACGAGTGAAGAGCCTCCTTTGCCTGCAGTCTCCTCTCCTTACTCTTCCAGTCCAAAGCCCTTTTAATATGGCCATCCAGTGCGGGGATACTCTTCTGACCCCTCCTGACGCCACCGGCGAGCTTCTCCAACATGTCTTTCTTCGTGTGGAGAAGATACTGTTTCTCGGCCTCCTTGAAGTCAGCACAACCCACCCCCACTGCGAAGGTCTTACAGACGTACGCGACTTGTTTGACAAGCTGGAACTTCTTCTTCATCTCGCTGAGCGAGATCTGTTTCGCAATGACCTCAAGGAGGATAGGGACGGCGTGCTCTGGAGCCATACTTCCCATGGCTATCCAATGTTGCGGGGGCATGTTGTCGGCGACCATGGGGACTTTGTTACCCTGCATTTGCACCCGAGGGTGCAAAAGCGCCATCTCTTGCTCCTTCGCAGCTGCCCTTTCAAGCCTCTTCCCACGTTGGCTTTTCACTCTGCCCTCTGACTCGCTCGATTCCAGATCCTGATCCGATTTGAGGATGCTCTTCGCTGCCGGCTTTAGTTTCTGGCCTTTGACCTCACCCTTCTGCCACATGTTCATTATCTTGCACATGAGGTCCCAAATTTCTTTGGGCTTGAAAGCACACTGCAGCAACGGGTCTTGGGCTCCCAATTTCTTCGCCGCGTTCGGAATCATAGCTTCTTTCAGGCAAGCGAGTTTAACTTCTGCCGACTTGACGGCCCCCACGCGCTCAAAGACTTGTCGCCAACACCTTAGCTTCTCGATGAAGCTGTAGTCCCGGTGGTAGCCGGCGGCGAGGTTGTGCATGTGGGCAACCTGCCTCGCCTCGTCGACCGTGAGGCCAACGTAAACGTAGCAGACATTGCACTTGTAGTCGTCGTTGTCGGGGTTCATGCAAGACAACCGTTCCCTAGCCTCCCGATTGTGGTTGCCACCAAGGATGGAAATGTCGTAGTGGCCATTTCTCAGCGCCGCCGGATCCACCTCTTCTTTCCGGCTGGCTTGTCCAGGGTCGATGAGGCTGACGAAGGGAAGATGATCCCCAGTTGGATGTTTCAGCATGGAGTCCATTATGGACTGCACATGATCCTCGTCTAGCTCTCGCACCTCCAACGGTTTTTTCCCATTTACGAGGGGCGGCCTCTTCAAACAGCTCATTGGAAGATAGAAGGACTCGTGCGAGAGTTTCATCTCCTTCAAACTCTTCAGCTCCTCCCAAGTCTTTGTCAAATCTTCCACACGCTCGGTCGGCACAAAACCTTGGGGAACCTGGAGTCCCTCTTCGCCCGCCTTCCCCTTACCCGAACCCGACGCCATCTTTTTCCACTTTGGGGCCTTCTTTGTGCCCGATCCCCTTTCCAAACCACCAGAAGACTCCACAATGGTTTGAGGAGAAATCACATCTTTGCGGCGCTGCGTCTTCGCACCCTTCGTGGTCTTCCTGGTCGTCGGAGTCTGAGTTGCTGCTTCTCGCTCTGCGCATCGAAAAGGAAGAAGTTTCTCGTCCAAATTTGGCAGCAGAAAAGCAGACAGTCCTTCCACAAAAGGTTGCACAGCACGAGAAGGCATTCAACGGTTACGCAGCGTGTCAGAGTAAGTGAAAGGCCTCTAAGTCTTCAAGAATGGAACACACAAAGAGCAGCGGTAGATCCGCAGCGGCAGTTTACGGCCAGCGACGGTTTGTAACGTTTCGGGAGTTACAGGCCTATAACATCCGGTGGCGTCGAAAACGCTTTCGACGTTAAAGGCCTACAACATCCGGTGACACGCTGAGAGAGCAGCAGTATGTCCGCGGCGGGAAAGTGAAACATATAAACAAAGGCACGTCACACGGTGAGAGGGCCTGTGACGTTTCGGGAGTTATAGGCCTACAACATCCGGTGGCGTCGAAAACGCTTTCGACGTTATAGGCCTATAACATCCGGTGACGCGCTGAGAATAACAGTAGGTCCGCAGCGGAAAAATGAAACATATAAACACGGTGAGAACAAGGGTACCCATAACCAGTTCAGAAGAGAGACCCACAACTGCGAAAAGGAACTTGTAGGTCATCAACGTGAAGAATGGAACACACAAACAGAGCAGCCGCAGATCCGCAGCAGAAGTTAACGACCAGCGATGGAATGTGACGTTCCGGGAGTTATAGGCCTATAAGATCTGGTGACGTCGAAAACACTTCCGAAGTTATAGGCCTATAAGATCCGGTGACGTCGACAAAACTTTCGAAAGCTTTCGAAATTAAAGGCCTGTAAGAGAGACCCGCAACAAGTTCAAAAGAGCAATGGTGCCCACAACAAGTTCAAAAGAGAGACCCGCAACTGCGACGAGAAACATCTAGGTCATTGACTTGAAGATCAGGGAGACATGCAATGGAAATGTTAGCAAAGATGAATGCAGTTACCTTACAGCCAAAATTGTTTAATGCCGCTAGTTTTCTGTTATGGATTGACATCTTCATGGGCATTAGCTTGTCTCCCTTCAGAAGACATTTGACAACCTTTTTTTTTATGAAGACCCACAACTCGGCCATCAGATACTTCTCTGTGACGTGGGTCGCAAATAAGATTTCGCCAATATCTGAATCTATACCGCTGCCGCTGGTCTTCACGTGAAGATAGGCAAGACCAGCTGTGATGTACACGGCCCTTAAGAACTACTTGAAGTCAACGTGAACAGGCCGCGACTCGAGGAACTCTCTCTGCCAACAACCGTCCTCCTCCATTGGTTCTTCTTCTCCTCCTTCCTCGTCCTCTCCTTCTTCTTCTTCGTCGGCTCGTCCTTCGTCTTCTGCTCCTTCTTCTCCTGCCTCTCCGTCTTCCTCTTCTTCTTCCTCTTCATCTCGTACCTCTTCCTCTCCTTCACCTTCTTCGTCGTACTCCCCTTCGTCTTCGAAAACTTCCACATCGCCTCCTTCTCCGCAGTGGGGAGTATCATCCTCTCCCGCTGCGACTGGAAAGACGTGAGACTGTCGTGGTTGTCTCTGTTGCACAACCCCTCCTGAGCATGCTGGCTGCCCCCGAGAAGATATTGTCCGGGCTTGCCCGGAGCTTCTCGCCTTAGTCATTCTCCTCGCGCCTTGGGTTGACTTCATCGTAGCAAATGGACTGCACACAAACAGAAATGCGCGAGAGTGCTTAGTACGGACAAAGGTGCTCAGAGGTCTGTACCGAGTGTGCGTGCCTGCACATGTTTGTGTGCGTCTGTGTGTGTCTGCGTGCGTCTGTGTGCGTCGACTTTGAGTTGCAGGTGCGGACAGATTTGCCTGTGCAAAGGAGCTTTTAGGCCTGCAACAATTTTGGGAGCACAGACTTGTTATAGGCCTATAATAGTTTTGGGAGTGCACACTTGCTGCAAAGGAAGATTGTACAAGAAGAAGAAGAAGAAGAACAAGAAAGAAGAAATGCTGATGCACAACAAAAACAATCACTGAACAAATCGATAGTCAGCTGCCTAACTTTTGTCAAAAAAATACTCAGCATTTCTTAGCAACTTAGTCCGGTTAATTGACCATTTTTCTAGAAAGAAGAAGAAGAAGAAGAAGAAGAAGAAGAAGAAGAAGAAGAAGAAGAAGAAGAAATAAGAGAGAAGAAGAAGAAGAAGAAGAAGAAGAAGAAGAAGAAGAAGAAGAAGAAAGATATAAGAGAGAAGAAGAAGAAGAAAAAGAAATAAGAGAGAAGAAGAAGAAGAGAAAGAAATGAGAGAGAAAAAGAAGACGAAGACGAACACGAACACGAAGACGAAGAAAGAAGAAGAACAGGACGGGGGGGAGCGGAGGGGGTTGAGGTGGGAGCGGAGGTCGAGCTGGGGCGATGGTTGAGGTGGGAGCGGAGCGTAGGCGGGGGGAGGCGGGGGGGGGCGGAGGGGGGGCGATGGGGGGGGGGGGGGGGAGGCGGGAAGGCGGAGCGGAGGCGGAGGCGAAGGCGATGGCGGGAGCGGAGGTGGAGGGAACGGAGGCGATGGTGGGAGCGGAGGCGGAGGCGATGGCAGAGGTGGAGGCGGAGGGAACGGAGCGGAGCGCAGCGGAGGCGGGGGGAGGCGGGAAGGCAACAGGAAGCGGGGAAAAGGCGATGGCGGAGGCGATGGCGGAGCGGTGGCGGGG